ATTCAAATCCTAATAACGTCCTCACCGACTTTTGTTTTCTGGCAATATTGTTGCAAAGGCAGTGCGCGTTTCGTAAACTATAGTTTTGTATATACTCAAGACGGGAAGACAAAACGCGCGTTATCTCATCAAATTGCGAAAACTCTAGTTGTTTTTTATGCACCCATCCCAACAGAATGCACATTCTAATATAAAAATAGGCATGCAGACCGACGTTAACACGGACTAATCATTGACAAACCTCAGGTGCATAGTTGCACATCCGCCGTAGTACGACCGGAAAACAGAGAGAAAGACCAAAAGCGCCGCTAGTAAAGCAATACAAAGTCACTCAGTGCAAAAAGCTACTTCTTTTCTCCGCAAATATGCTGTGAATTCGGGTTCGTCTCCAACCTACCAGTGAGTCGCGGTCGCAGGACGTTACGAAAAAGTGGAATGTGTCCTGTTGCCCAATAATTACACGTGATGAGCACTTCTCTCCTTGTCCGTGTAACCTGACAACAGCAGAGGCCAGTACGTAGAGAAGCATGGAGAACTGAGACATTAATTTCGAACGTTTGTGTGCACATCGCCAGGATGAACACCGGATGACCTTTTTGGGATTCGAGACCAGTTCCGCAAACTATGTCTTGTCTGGTGGTTGTTTGTCCGTTGCAGTCGACTTTTATGGTCTTCGTCTGCCTATATTTGTGGTCTAGGTAATGGTCGTATCTCTTTGAAATCAGTGTTTTCTTGTGTCCAGATATTTCCTACGAGTTATCTCATACCCACACATGTATGTCGATACTGGGGAAAGCTGTTGAGGATCAGCACGAGCCCAATTACGTTGGACATGATCAGAGGCGTATAAGATACTAGCGGGATTGCAGACTTGGATTTTTTGCTTAAGGTTCTTTTGGCTCCAGAAAACAGTTACTGTGAAATACTGATTGTCGGACCTGTAGACCCACGATCAACGTTTCGTCCATGTGACTGTTATTTGTGCATCTAGAGACAGGTAGGTTCAAGTTTTATTATACGTCTTGTTTTGTGATCGCGCTGAGTGCATAGTTGTCAATGAACAGAAAGTCGTGAATATCTTTCATGTTTCTCGTATGATTGTCAGCTTTTCGAAAGCACAATTTCTCCATCTGTTCGTTCCCCAACGCTGACTGCAGTTCCTTTGTTTCAGTAAGCATCTAATAAAAAGAAAAAGAAAACTAAAGTATAGGGCGAGTACACAACACTGCTTCATCCTGTTGGCTATGATGACAGCGGGGGTCTGTACGCTGTCGTCTTCCCAAAATTTGAGTTATCTTTTCTGAACAGAAGCTCTTGTCCTAGATGCGACATCAGGTAGTTCAGTGGTGTGCGCACAAGGACTTTTCCAACGACACTAAGTAAGCCGATTGACAATCTTTATTCCTGGCCTGTTTGTTTCCCATCCGCCCCTAGATATAAACAGTTACAGCTTCTTAAAATCTTGAATTATTTTCCCTAGTACCACATCGTTTGATACGGATTGGTTGTTATTTCTAGTCTTTGTGGATTACAGGGTATGTAAATCTCGGTAGGAATCGCATCCGCGTCCAAAGTTTTCTCCATAAGCAATATCAGGACCGCCTGAATTGTCTTCTACAGGCTAGAACGATCGAAACCAGCGTTAACGTTTATTTGCAAGCATCTGTTTATTGCTGAATTGCGGGCTGAACGTGGGCCATCTTCGGTGCTCCAGCGGTATTTGCCCAGCACATATCCAAGCCATCTTGCGTAAGTTAGGTCGCACTAACTTATCGTTTGGTAAAAAGCAAGTGACCGTGGATGCAACTACCCGTCACGTAAATTTCACCTTCATGGAGTGTATTGTTGTATGGGACCTAAAAATGCATAAGCGTGCTCGGAACTGACGAGTTTAACTACCGAAAATTTTATAGGGCTATATAACAGGCGAGTGCAGGGATTGGCTCAAAGCTGGATAGCGACACTACGACACAGCGACTGTTAATCGTCATTAAGTGGGTTTGCTTGTCGTCGTTATCTTATTGTTAGGTTTTCGAACCATGGCGTTACAAGAGACAACTTCGACAACTTACTGCCCGCCTTGCGGCTGGCGTTTGTTTCGAAAACGGTTATGAAGTGCTGGACTATGCTAACCAGAACGGTTCCTGTTTCACCAACACTCGCTTCCAACACGACCACAAACACCGCCGACCTGGTATTCAAACGATGGTCGTAGGACAAATCAGACTAGTTACATTGTAGTCGGGGCTAAGGTTCTACAGCTGGATTTATGATAATAGACCCGTGCATGATGTCGAAATTGGCAGCGCCCGTGGGTCGAACTATGTTCTCATTCTTACATACCAGGAAGTTTGCTTCTCATGCGTAGCAAAATTGTCATCTGCAAGATATCCTGATGTCGCAAAAAATACGACAGCTCAACAGGCTCGGACCAATGAATACAGACATTCGGTTTCGCTTTACGACCGGAGTTGAAAGAAAAGGTAGTGACGCATAGTCAACGTTGCAGCCATCAGTCCACAAAGCAGCTAGGATAATTATTGAACTCACCCATTGGAAGAACGTTACGGTCATCTGTCCAGACGTCTCAATTCAGATTCCGTAGCGATGGCTCTTTGCGCCACCACCGGAAAATGACGAAAATTCTGCTTGTTTTCGGCATAATCTTTTAGGCCAAAATAGCGACGTCCATAGATCAGGCCTCAAACGCCTGTGATATTCTAGAACCCTACCAAATTCGCCAATTAGTGGTAGGCCTTCCGTGTCAAGCGACTCACTTCGCGATTTTGTGTGGCGGCTATAGCACTAACAGCTCGGCCAAGGTCGAGCGCTGGCATGGGCACTTCGTGCACCTAAACCCGATGGCTAGCCCATCACACTTGCTCCCTGCAGCCGACTTATCCCTACCTAGCCTGTGGAGCGTCATGCAACTCCCCTTAGGATAAAATCGCCAATGCAGGACGGAGGCGTTGCAAGGACAAAGCTCCCAGAGAGGATGGTATTCCCACTGAAATCTGTCAATTTTGTGTCTACACTGACGCCCTTGCTTCATGAGGTAACTGAGCGAGTGTGGGGCCAGCTCATTCCGAACGCCCTTCTGCCTGACTTCAAAGGGGGACATGAGTCAAAGTTCGAGAAATACTGCGGCATAAACCCCATCGATGTTGCCGCAAAGGTCTTTGTCATTCTCGTCCTCCGGCGATCTCCATATTTGTGCGACTCGAGGAGTAGGCCCAGCGAAGCGGGGTTTCGGACATGATGTGGATACACCAACCAGATATTCACTCTGTGGCGCATTTTTAAATTCCGCCATGGCTATTGACAATCTACGGCCACGTGTTACGTTGACTTCTTCGTAGCGCTTGATTCCGCCCATCGTGGCGGATAATGGAACCAGATGCTATGTTGGAAAAATCACTACCATAACCAAGGCCTACTATTGTTCAAGTACTGCTTGAGTCCACAACAATCTGTCTGGGCCGTTCGATATTCGATCCGTCGACATCGAATTGATTCTCGGACGGGCCCTACACGGTTTTTACGATTTTGAATTTGCTGCCGGATGCCGGTTGACTGATCTCAGCTACACTAACGACCTTGTCCTATCGACGTCAAACTTTAGCAACCTGCAGACTGTGTTGTTTTGAATAAATGTGGTCGCCAAATTTGTCGTTTTCAGCTACCTCGGAGTTGCTCTCTAACAGACAGAGTAAGGACGTAATCTGTTTCCGAATCGATCATGTTTGCAGGGCTTTTATGATCCTTAGAAAGTGCTTGTATGCGCGATGTCATATCTCCTTCGCCGGCCATCCAGACCGTCACGCGTATAAAAGTAGAATTTGCGATATCATCGAGACCATATAGATAAGGTACGCTCACAGTCGTACCAAGCGCAAGCAGGATTGGTACTTTGGTCAGAACTTTAGCCTGGTTATAGAGTTCTTTGGTCAGGATCGGAGGTATATTAACAATTGATAATAATTTCTATCATGAAATGGGACGCAATATAACCACGACGTCTGTACAAAGCGACCATTGATTACAATGTAATGCCATATGCGGCGTGACGTCAGGCTGACGCTTTGGAGAGTCACTGCTTGCTTAGCTGGGCAAATGAATTTTCCCTACCCACTGGGGAGTGGCGTCGGACTTTTTCCATCCCTCGTCAACTTACCTCGTCACAACCACAAACTGTTTAAGTAGTTTTAAAGCACCTAGAATACATTTTAGTCGCAATAGACAACTGGAAATTAGAATATCTACAGCCAAAATATGTCTCTTGCTAGGCGGCATTAAACCGTCAGTCTCTGTTTTTATGCGGGATCCGTCGCCACGTACTTGCAAGGGATGAACTTACAATCAGTTCGAATAATCAATGTTTCTTAATCTCCACCTTGCAAGGTGAGCCCTCTGTCCAGCCCGAGCCATTTTTCCCCGGGCTACGAGGCAAAGTTCGTTTACGCAGAAAATAGGCCATTGTATTCGCTACTCTGATAAAAGTTGGTTCAGTCTCTAGTATCTCAAACAACTATGGAGGATGATAAAACGCGTAATAGGTAGATAGCCAGTTCCACTCCGTCTGGCGGCCAACGCTTCCGAGTCACGTCCTCCTGTAGTTTAAAATTTTTTATAAAAATGTTCCAAATCACTGAAGCACTACGGACTGTGGTAGGCTGTGGCACACTAAGGAAAATTAGAGCATTTTGGGACTTCATAACGTGCAAGGTCACTTGTGTATATTTCAAGTCTTAAGACGCATTGTTGTGCTTATGCATCTTAGTCCCTTTAAACTCATATTTATTGCTGACAAATGATGTACTTGCAATGCTTTTAGTGCGGTCTCTTCCCCTGTTCTGAAAAATCGAATAAGAAGCATGTTCTGGTTTACGCGCTGCTGTGATCTGTTGCGGAACTCGTTTCCAGTTCTTGTGAAGTCACAAATCTGTATGGCTTCCAACAGGACTGCTATCTGCCGCATCAACAGGCGAATTTATGGGCGCATGTACCCCGTAAATTTAGTTCTTCCCAATGGAGCCACAATCCGGATTCGCTTCAAGGAACCGCGTCATTTGCTACAGGTGGGGTTTTATTGTTTATTAATCCCTTCGTATCCATATTTCCTCCTAATTTACGTATTTCGAATCACGTTTGAGACCTTACGCCGGATGGTTTGCATCGATTTCCTCTTAGGGAATATTCAATTCCATTTCCCTCAGATCTTTATTTACTAACTGCTTACGTGATCCGTCCCATGTTTTAATCTCCAGAAATTTGCTCTTCTCCGTTTTCGGCCCGTGTAAATTCGTTCTCGGTGTTCTGCGTTTCCAGATACCCATAAACCTGGACGAATGCTCCGAAGAGGAAAGACAACGTAGACTATTGCGGCGGAAACCGCGAACCCGCCTCATGCTCCAGGAGGAGGTTGAAGACACATTCAATCCTGATGCCTATTCATTCCTCTGGTCAAAGAAACAAACTGGAAGATGAGACCTTTGTGTGGAGCACCTTACTGCAGAAACTGTAAATAAAGTTCCTTATTTTATTTACGTTTTTTATATAACTGGACAACTCAAATTCCTATGATCCCCTGGGAAGAACGTGCCACTCTGGCGTTCCTACCTCCTTGGTCACGAGGCCAGTTATGTACCGGTCGGTCGTTTATACAAATCTTCGTCCTACTTTGGTATGTGTTCTCACTTCGAGTCTTTTTCCCCTATGTCGCGTTGCACAGTCGTAATGCAAGTAACCCCACGATGACTCGACCATTCAACGAGCTAGAACAGAACTGGATATCTCCATAAGAATGGGTTCTATCACAAAAACGGCCTTACAGCGGACTGAGTATTGATTGTCGGCAACGGTAGTGCAGAGAGCCCCCTTAACTGTCGTAGACTGTGGATCGTGTCATACAGAAATGATGGAAATGGGAATTTTGCGAATGAGGCAGCACATCAGGCGGCAAGCTGATTAAATGCGAAAAAACAGAAATCATTCGGCTTTCTGCCGTCAGTCTTATCGTACGCTTTCGTATGCCAACGGGAATGAGCGCGTTGATTTAAAAAAAAAACAAATAAAAAGCATTTTTCAAGAAAGTACGGGGCTTGGGTAGTGGTTCGAGGTCTTGAGAAGTAATCGCTGGCAGTTTAATGTCTGCAACGGCTTGCAAATGGATGCCAAGGTAAAACCCCATACGACACGACCCATAGTGCATCGACTGTTGGGTGGAGTCCTGCACCCTGCCGTTGCCTGATCATGTGTGTGTCTCTTCTGCATCTACCCGCATTCACTGGCTTGCTGCACCGACACCGTCATTAACAGGGCGGGATTCGATTCAACGCCGTCTCGGGTGAGGTCATCTTAGCATCAACATAATGTATGGTCTGGCCGTTCGACGTCGGAGGTACTCGGTTTGATTTAACCTCGGCCCGACCTTTAGTTCTCTGCTGGAGCCTGCTGCGGAGGTGCACCATCAGCCTCTACTCACGAGTCATTTCTCGTGCTCGTATATATAGGTTGTCCTATATGATGCTTCGTGTCTTCATAGTCGAGTATTCTGACTGGCCTCCCACCGGCTCCAGAGGTTTTAACAGAGTCAACCGAATGTCTCGCGCATGACAGGTTCGATTTTCGTTTTAATCACTTTCGTACTGCTTGGTGGAAGTCGGAGCATGGTTGTGGAATTGTCGAATTGGGGCATTGACGCCTAATCGCAAGTCGGGGAAAACTTATTAGGTTGGACAATCCTTACTGAGGAAGAAGAGCGTGCTAGCGGCTCAGCAAGCAGTTGTAGACCGCCAAAGAACCTGTCGGCTGACCCAGGAGCTTCGTCCTTCGTTAGCCAACTTTTCTAACCTGAATAGCTCAGACAATTATATTTCTTGAGATGTCGCGCTTCCAAATCCGAACGGTCTCGCTTGTCCCACGAACTGATCAGCATAGTTGTGGTCTGCAGTTCCTTGGTTGTGGTGTTTTACGGAAGCAAGACTTCTTCCAGATGCGTCGTAAAAGCACCTTCCCGCGTAGTTTGTCCCCGACCGTGCGCAGTCCCGCGTACGCCTGAGGCAAGGTCAAAATAGTTACGAATTTTTTCCATTCATCCATACTTCTGTCCTTTTAGACATTAACGGTCGCTGCAGCTTTCTTGACGCGTTGCCATGCGGTCCGATTGACGGAGTCGATTGTTCCAATCAAATCCATGGATCTTTAATGAACCACTTGTGACAGTGATTGTATCCGTGTTTCTGTAAAACAGAAGCTCCTTCGAGCCCTGATCAAAGCCACGCTGACTCATTCTTGCTTGTCCTCCGCAACTTAGGCCGAAATTTTTGGGGGGAACGACTACGAACACAGGCATCAAGGTTAAGAATGCGATTCCGCGGTAGTCCTTGCTAAATGAGTTGTCACCTATGTTGAAGACAACGATGGTCCGTAGTTGCGGTTCTTCGTCAATATGACCAGAGGACTATGCACCTAAAGAACGATTATTAAATTCACCGCCGGGTGATTTGCTTTTTCCCAGTTCCAGGTACCGTCAAGGATCTAGATGTTTTATGGGCTGGAGTTGTGCGTCTGAGCGCCTTTAACTACGGCTCAAACGAGCAGCTCTCCAGGGTTCAGCAGTTGACAAAATTTCGCCTCTGCCAGAGAACAGGTTGCGTACCTTTCTCATATTGGGAGGCTGATACGTGGCGTTACACCAAATCGCATTGCAAAGGTTCGTTTAAATCTGTAATTCGTTGCGGCTATTCGCCAAAACGGTGCGTCGAGAATGGCACTCCAACGAAGGAATGCTTACCTTGGTGATGCCAGTTCTGAGAACAAAGAATGAGTTCTACGCTGACCACTTCGATCGTTCATAATGCCATACCAGCCAGGCGTCTGTTGAACTGTTATGGTAGGGCTTCATCTGCTACCGCACTAGTGTGCAGGGAGACGCCATTTGCTCAGGCAGGCGTCACAGCTCTCAATTATGCCTCTTAAGGAAAGGTAGTAGTCGCAGGATGTTATTTAACGATGGCACAGAATGTCAAAACCACCGCGTTGTAACAGTTTTATGGAATTGTCGATTACATTGTGCATCATAATTGATCTATCAAACTAAGAAAACGCTTCATGGAACAGTAATGGAACGGGCGCTCACAGCCTTATGCGGAACAAGCGATTTGGAGGAGTACCTGCTTGGCTAGGATGAGATTCACTGAAGCTAATCGACGACTACAGAGCCTTTCAACTGGGCGTTAGTACTCTAGAACAGGCGTGTTATCCTGATGAAAAACGACCTTGAGCAAAAACTACCAAGACCCCAACCTTATGCTCTATCGCAGCACATTCGCTTGGCTCGATCGCTACCCTTCGCATATTCGTATTTTCGCTGGCGATGACCGTAAAAATGGGGTCTCCTAATAAAATGTCAGCAGAAACTTTACTGAGACGGAGTGCACAACCTGATCCAAGAGGCCAGAGGAACGTGTTGACGAGCGTCTGCATAGATGAGCGACTAAACGTATGAATCGCCCGGACCAGTCAATTGGAAGCAAGCTGTCATTTGGAGTAGACTGCCGTCACTCCTGCACGTAGTCAGTGTCGGCAACAGCGGACTGACCAGAGGGGAATGTAAGGTGTAATGTGAAGCAAAAGCAAATTATTTAACTGTACTTCCGGCCGCAAGGGAGTCGCTGTACCGTCATATCACCATTCTTGCTGGCCCCGGGCTGCTACTTCGAAAGGCGCAAATTAGCTTATTTTGCTGCTGGCTCCCACTTAAACTTAATGCGAGCTCGTTACAAGCTCGTAACGGTGGCTACAAGGACGTAAATCAGCTGCCCGATGTTCGTTTCTAGCTCGCGTTTGTGCAGAGTACCGAGGTCGTTACAAGCTCGTTACAACTTTCACGACTCGATCTCGTTAGCCCGAGACAGCGGACTCGGTCCGTGCTCATAATGAGTTCGAAAATGAAACTGAGCTTGTTGTCGTCCGGATATCCGCCCAACCCACCTCCCCCCCCCAATTCCTGTTCACAACCAGGTCCTTCGTCGATTAATATTAATACAAATCACATATGAAAATATCTTATTTATTTAAAAATAATGTGGAGGAAATACAGTGTTTTAATGTCCTTTTGGCACTTCTAATTGGAGTCATCGGATTTTGGGGCACCAATGGCAGCTGGTGGGGCATCTGAAAGCAAGGTATTGTAGAAGAGTAAGTAAATGCATTATATTTTTCGTTTATTACATGAAGCTTAATAAAGCACACAATTTATCCCATTAAGTATCATTTACAACCTCCTGAGGTTTGGAAGGGAATATATGTCGTCTGCCTGGGACCTCATGAAAATGCGAAAGCATTCAGGACGAAGGAGAAAAGAAGATGGGAACGCGGCCGACGGGGCAGGAGCTTCGCTCGCCTGACTTCTCGCGCTCACGTGCTAATCCATCATCAGAGACAGCAACAGACTAGGAAAGTGTTTGCATATGTGTTGCGGTAGTTTTGACGTGCGATTTCCATGCCACGGCATATGCAGCGAAATCGCCTACCGCCGTGTTCATTGCAGATGGCCGAATGTGTTGTGATTATTGCTGGATTGTACGCACCCGGGTAGTTAATTGCCGTAATGTCATTACTCTTATCAGTTACCGGTGTAATAGTGGCTCGGCAATTCGAATCTTAGACACTTGGAACAGTATGCCACTACCGACAAAGACAAGGGAGACTGGAGTAGCCATGTCTGGCTTATTAGCTGTCGTCAGCCAGTATTACCCAACCTGCAGGTGCTTGGCCTATACGGTTCAACTCCGCGACCCGTTAGTTAGAAGTCCACCGCCCTAACTACTGAGCCACAGGTTCGTCGTGCTGTGGATAATGCTATTCTCCTTATATTATGGGCCACTGTGCACCTGCTGGTGGGGTTTGAGAGAGTCCCAAGGCACAACAGGACGAGTAAGTTTCGTAACGCGATCAGTGTGTGCCCCACTACCACTTGGTAAAATTTCGTGACGACTTTTCAACTACAGCCCGTCTCTGCAAAACATAGGTAACAAATGAAAGCGCGCATGTGCTGCAGCAGTATGAATTTAGACAGAATGGCAGTGCATAAGAGCAACGTCGAGGTTTAAGGCAATGAATAATAAGATAAGACGTCCACATAAGCGTCATATAGGAAAGAGGGAGACGAAATGTTAACAACAAATCACAATCAGATGTAACTTGAGGCGTGAGATTACCAGGGCAATTGCAGATTGATCACATGATCTAACTGCTTGTACAGGTCTGGTTTGTCCCTCCGTATGTAAGCTGCTTCCAAATAACGCAAGGTTCGAGTTGTATGCGCTCGGACAAGTACTCGAAAAGATGCTTTAGGGTCCAAAACCTGACCGCTATTTAGTAGGTTTTCGTTATAGACGAGCAGGGGGTTTTGTTTTCTTGTTTGAAAAGCCAATTAGGAAAATGCTCAGCGGTCCTGGCTGCCAATCGCGTTTGCGTTCGCCCAATGTACTTGCATCCGCAAGTGCATGTGAATTGATACACACAATTTGGGACGGCGTGCATTGGCAAGGCATCCTCTGTCCGGTTAAGTGAAAGGATTTTTGTGGAATTGATGAAGGTAAGCTCTGCTGCGTTGTACATTCTTTCCATAGTGCAACGCAAGCGCCGCTAGATTGTGTTTGAGACGTTGTCACCCTCAAAAGGTAGACATATTATAACGGGCTTCTTCGGAAGGGACTGTTCCGTCAACTTAGACCGTAAATGGTTCCTGTACTGCTGAATGGAGCGTGCAGGATAACCACGATTAAGTTTAAGTCAGATCAATTTGGGAGCATGGAGCAAGTTTAAGTCAGATCAATTTGGGGAGCATGGAGCAATGCCAAGGTAATTGCCGCCAGAAGACTGTCATTTGAGCGTGTCCTGGCAGGTTATAACGCCTAAAATTCTAGCAGACTGATAGACAAAACGCCCATCAATTAAGCACTCCTAATTGTGCAATGGTCCGAAAACCTGATAAGTACGTGCCCATTAGAAGTGAAACATATTACGACTACCCCTTTTCTCTTTTTTACACCAGTTATAATCAATGCAGGAGATGTGTCTTTTAGCCATCGTATCTGCACGTTAGTCAGCCGGTAACTTTCTGTCGCCCCAGTTCGCATTTTTATACGCTTGATACGTAAACTATCATATAAATTCTGAATTATTTGCCCAATTCACTCCAATTTTGGGTCAGCTTTTACTAGGTTGACATTTTAGTGACGCTATCATGAACTACTTGATAACAAACACGGTTGAAAGAGTTCCCTCTTTACTGATGAGGCTGGTATCAACGGACGAAGATACTGAACCGCAGAATGTCCCTCAGTTACCGGATATTACATGGCTGGACTGGAGCACTGTTGCCACCTCTGATCACAGGGGCTGGTATAGATATAGATTGACGGTTAGCAAAGGAAATAACAAACACAATCCCGGCGGAAAGTGTCGGCCCATATTAAAGGCTAGAGCAAAAGATAGTTTGCCCCATCGTGAGAAGTGTCTAATCAAATGTGTGCGCAAGCTACTAATCAGATTTTACTAAATCGAAATTCAGGCGGAAGGATCAAGCTGTGTCACGGACCTACATCGGGAATGAGTAGAATGCTGAGTGATACTTCCTTATCATTCAATACTTCTCCTTTCCCCTTCGAAGTCATGCTTAAACCCCACGACTCCGGCAGCAATTCATTTGTCTAATTATCTACCTTGTTCCCACAGTCGTCTGCGCCCCTTGTAATTATATTGCTAGGACTTACTCTCTTCCTATCCGATCATCTTCCACCTCTGTATTTCTTTCGTTATCTCGGCCATTATTATATTGTCGTCCTATTCAAAACGTATCTTTCTAGTATTTGCTGTGAGACTTATGCGTGTCGATCATTGGGATACCCGTTACTCATGAGTAACAGGGACTGCAGTCCCCGTAGGTCGTCATAAGTTACGACCGTAGGGCATTACGAATGAGATACCATAGAATTGTTTTGTAGCCAACCGTTTGTGCATCTTAACAGAGCAGTAAAATCCGACGATCTCCCGTCTTCGCTGTTTTCTTCGTTGTCATTGTCAATAGAATGCTTCACTTATGCATACACTTGGAACTCGAAATTTCGCCTTAATTCGTGAAACATCAAGATTTTCTTCGTAATGGTGTGCTGGCTCCGTGATTAAAACCCACGCACGATCATTCGCCTACTTTCTCGAGATGGTTTAACGTTCATCAGTTGTAGATGCCGATGAACCAAGGTCAGACGATGTCTGATTTTAGGCCGGCCTTCTTTCGAAGCATGCATCTTTTCGGCTCGTAACTGCTTTCCCGCATTTTCTGTTACTGCTAATTCCGTTTTACTATTTGCAATTGTTACCCCAAGAATAGGTGCGATGAATGCACAATATTAAGCGGCAACAGGGAATGAGTAGGACTCACACGATGTTTATGAAATGCGAACCTGACAGTCCCGACACGGGCGTGCGCCATATCGGTACGTTTGCGTGGCCACCGATTAAGTCTTTCGTTGTCTGAAGACTGAAGTTGAATAGCAAGAAGTCAATATTGACGGGTCGCAACGATTTCCATACAGTTGCACAAAGACCAGGATGTCACTTGAAGAGAGCTTATTTCGTTTAAATAACTTTTTGGACGCTATCGTCCAGTAGGCTAGCGCAGAAGTGTACAACCAGAAGGACGTTTTTGAACTTGGCAGGTTGGCTGGGAAAAAGCAGCGATTATTGCTAGACAGAGGCAACCCAAATAAACATTCGCAATCTCACCACAGAACTGCAGACGAACGGAGAATTGCCTGTTGGCGTCCACTGGTGGCTTTGGCTTCGCAAAGAAGTGACAGTGGACAGTAAGAAGTGACTTGACATCGCTGTTTGGCTTCAAGGCAAACAAAGAAGCCTTGGCTAGCCCTTCCGTGGATAAGTGATGATAGATTTAACGTGTGCGGTCCTTGGTTGCGACGGAGGCTAGCCAGACACTGACTTGGAAGTTGACTCCCATTTTTAAATAGAAGGAACGTATCAGATTACAACCCACTCATCTTCAGAACTAACATAAGGACTTGACAAAGCTCCATTACGTCTGCCCTGATCTTGGGACGTCGAACAACCACTGCTCCCAGTTTTGTGTTTAGTAAGCAATGACTAACGCACCATACTAATTGAGATCTCAATACTAGAGAGCTTCACTGGAATGGTGTGTTGGCCTTTGCTTGTCCATCACGAAACTGGCGACGGCGCCCGTCCAACATGTCTCACAACTATGCGTCAATGGATCTTTCGAAATTGCACGCAATTTGAGATGCAATGGAGCTTCGTCAAGTCCTTATGTCAGTCCTGTGGATAAGGAAATTGTTAGCTAATACGCTCCCTTCGTCAAATGTGCGAAACAACTTCGATGTTTGGTTTTTCCCAAATTAATGCTCACTTGACCTCCGTCGCGACCGAGGACCATATGCGCTATATCTGCCGCCAGTTTTCTGTGGGTATGTTGGCCAAGGCCTCCTTTTTGGCATGAAACATAGTAGCGATACCGAGTCTCTCTTAACCTTCCTCCGTCCCATCTTTATGAAAACTGAGCCAATGGTTGCCAACTGTCGGCTATTCTCATCTCTTCTGCGGCTATTGGTGAGAGGGCTAAAATTATTTAGGCTCACTCCGTCCATTATCCCTGACGGCCTTTCTCGACCATTCTACAAGTACTACAGACGCTGTTCTCGTTAACCATTTCCCCGCTGGTGTGCTTAACGACTGCATCCGCTTGATGCTGCTTAGACTTCACTTTCCCCTGATGAATTCCTAGTCTTTTTACGGGAGTATAACCATTATTACAGGCCGTTGTTCTCCACGTTCTGACTCTCGACCTCAGCCCTCCAGCAGCGGAAGTTCCGTTTGGTGACCATGCAAAACATACCGGAAATTCATGCACCAGCTCCCAAGGGCGCCAGAATCACTTATCCAAAATTTCGACTGCCCTATTCAATCCCCGCTGTCGCTTAATGTTCTGCATCTCCCGAATCCCTTCTTGGGGTTGCGGTCGCAAATAAGAGGATAGCATTTTTTGTCAACGCTGGGGCAGCATGTTATCTGCTAAATCCCGAGGGTTTATGGCCGTGTCTGGCTTCGGTAAACCAAACTTATGCGAAAGCGTCTTCACATCGTCGCAGAGAGTGACCACATCTCTCGTCTTCATCATTAATTAACATGTTGCTTCGTCAAAGCTTATCCGAATTTCACTGCCCCTTTTGTGTTTACCCCGATATTCAATAGCAACGTAGTCTGGGAGCCGATTTTCTTTACGCTCACCAGTTATCTGTCAGTTTGGCCAACCTGCGTCTCACGTCTACGATGACCACAGTTCCCTTGCATTTCCGCCATTTCCCTGAACAACCATCAACTGCTGACTCAGGCTTTCCCGAGCCCTTTAAATTGGTACCTGTAGTCTCCGGTTCCGCGGACTTCTTCTGTGAGCAGATAGCAGCTGTTCGTAACCGTATCCGTCAGAAGGCGGCTGCTTGTGCATTGAATGGTAAACCGTTAGACTTGACGACTGTATTGCAGCATAGTATTGATACCGGTTGATGTCATCCATTCTTTCAAGCCCCTGCCCGTTATTCGTTGATTTTCAAAATCAGTTGGAGTGTACCACCAAGGGTATAGTGAATGAACACGCCATTGGTCTTTTCTTCTCGCCCTGGGCGTCTCCGATTGTCCTCGTCGAAAAGAATAAGTCCATATGATTATCCCTTAGCTTCTGAAAGATAAATTCGATAATTATCAGATATCCTCTTTTCACCTCCACGTCGTTGTCAGTTGTTGCCTGTTTCTCGACCGTTGACCTCCAGTCTAGCTACTGGCAAGTGGAAGTGCCCACTGAGGACAGACCTGAGACGGCGTGTTCCATACCATTCGGGCTGTACGGGTTCAAAACCATGCAGTTCGGGTTGTCCAATGCTTCGGCGATCTTTCAACACTCAATGCCTTCGGTTTTATGAGACTTGTGTCCCATCACGTGTGTGGCTTACCTCGACGATGTGATCGCACACGGGCCTACACTAGACTCACGCCTTTCAAATCTACAAGCTGTTTTACTCGCCTCCAGGCTCCGAAACTAAAAGACATCTGTCCCCATCCTAAATCGCCCTATCTTTGTTCATGACGTTCAAAAAGACCTCGCTAAGGCTGACCAGATCACACGCTGATCACATGCTAACCCTCATTCCGTTCCGAGCTTCACAATTTAATAGGTCTGGCCTCCTACCATCGCCATTCCATTAAGGGTCTTCTATACATTGCATCCACTCTAAATCCTTTATTTGGCAAACAGGTCATCTCATTTGTCCGACGAGTGTGACAGAGCTTTTAAAGGACTCAAACAACAACTGAATTCCCTTCTTTTGCCGCCGTTCCGAGATATTTCTGGTCCGACCCCCATTTTATTTTAGACACTGACGCCCCGGCTGTTGTTATTGGGACAGTTTTATCTTAACAGCAACCCAATGGACTGGAGCATCCGCACGCTGTTGCCAGTTAGATGCTAAGACCGAGTATAACTACACAGCCAAGTGTAAGGAGCTCTCAGCTATCCTCAGTCCGTCAATAAATTTTATCCCCTTCCCTCCCACCTCTGCCACTACGACTATATCAGTTAGCCAAGAAAGGACAACCGAAAAATAACTATGTTCAGGAAATTCAGTGGCACCCACAATGAGAACGGTAAGGAGACCGCTTCTGCACCTCACTCGGATTTTCCATGCGGACGATCAAATGCCTACACCCGCTTTCATCTTCAGGAGGGTTTTCGGAATGGAAATTTTGAGGCATCTACTGTGCCCAAACACAGGATGGGGTCTTTCCACCCACTCCTTATAAAACTGCATGCCCTTTTGGGGATTGCGGCTATGTAGTTCATTTAACCCCAGAATTAGAATAGCCGTAAACTCGAATGGCTGAAGGCGGATTCCAGTTAGCCATTAAACTGATCTCTGTGACTGGCTGTGGGCTACCAGGCAGCCAGTTGTCCAGGTTTCCGGCGCGAATTAGGGAGAGATATATCCATGATCGTCTGTGCTACTTTCAGGACGGACACAAAATTATAAGCCCCAGTGAGCATAGCTTCCATAGAAGACTATCATGCTTCATGAACCTCCTCATTGCAGCGAAATGCGTGAGCGGGCAGTGAAGTAGTAAGGAAGGGCCTGACGCAATATTCCTTAACCCTAAAAAGTCCTCTCACAAACTTAGCTGCTAATCGCACATCTAGAAGCTCAATGGATATGGTTTAACCGGAAACGCCATCAACTAGATCAAAGGTTTTCCAGGCAGTGCATGTGACTGGGAGGCTGTGTCATCCGACCGGCCAGTAGACGGTAGTGCTCTCTGTTATGGTCATTGTTCTCTCTGATCTCCAGCAATGATCTATCCGTGATAGTTTCCAGCGGCCGTCTGATGTTTACGGACATCATAATTGTAGGCCAAGCACACCATCGTGCTTCCGTGCAATAAGATCTTGTTCAAGTTCGCCGATAGATAGACCAATGAGGTCTCGTTGTGGGGGCACAAACGTGTCTACGCACGACGTCAGGTGACGAAGCCAGTACAAGAACTGAATCAGTTGTGGACATGGGATTTATTACTTCGATCAGCCCAAGACTGTCGAAGCAATGTTTATTAGCCGATTCCAAGGCCTAAAAGTGCCATTTTCTCGTTCACAGGCGATTCCAACACTGAACATCGAGCAGAACCTTCGGATAGTAGCATCTACGTTTGTCCGGCCACACCTCCAATACTATTAATCTGTGTTTTTCCATGTTTTGTGCGAGACGTGGAGCCCTAACAAAGATTCAAAACTAGTCCACCAAGCTTGTTCACCCAGTTAGTAATCTATGCCCAAGGCAAAGACTACTGGTGAGAACTTCGCCTGCTACAGCAGAAGAGGTAAAGCGCTGGAAGCGTACGGGATAAACAATATGGCCTACGATCTGGTCTTCCAGCGTACTCATGAACGAAATATTAGAGGACATTCCGAAATACTGTTTTTAGCCGTGAGTATGTACGCACGCTCGAGAAAGGACCTTTTTGTAATATATCATCGGTTTCCAGAGTGTACTACTAAAAAGGTTGCTCTACCTTCTACATACAGTCTACGCATGAAACTCCCTGAGTGCACGTTCTACTAAGCACAGCCCACCGAAGTGTGGACTTTCTAAAAAGTCATGGACTGCGGCCATTACGGGTTTCTATTGAAGGGGTGGTCACTGTCGTGGCAGTGCTTCATGTTATCTCCCGGTCTTGTACATTGTAATGTATGCCTAATGTCATTTGGGCAAATTTTACCGTCTGCTTTTCGCTGTAGCATGTCCACCTTTTTCTGGCTTTCTGTCCCTTCGTATGCAGTTTTTGCTTTCTTCCTTACGTAGACCTTTTGCGTTTGCCTTGAGACGCCTACATGTTTATCATCAGCTTTCAGCGTATAATACCTGTACAAGTCCTTTTTGTCTCTGCCCAGGTTGCCCTTCAACACCTATCTGTCCAAAAATGGCAGATGCAGAACGCCAAAAACTTTTGCTGGACTTGGAGGAAATAGAGGCTGCTGCCGAAAAGGTTTTAGCTGATCAGGAACGCTGCAAATTGTATGATATTAATCTGCGCAAAACACAGGAAGCACTTAACAGACTGAAGGATCCAGAAACGCCTGCTGAAGTGTGGACCTGTTTAGCTCGCCAATTTTTCTGTGTGCCACGATCTTCCCTGCAAAGTGCCCTGCAGTCGGATATCTCTACCTACAAAACAGAAGTTAATACTCTACGAGACCGAATAAAAGAAGAGTTGAATTTCTTACGAGAACTGGAAGGAAAAAATCCACTTAAAGGCTTTAATTTGGAGCCACTTTCAAGAGACGAACTGTCTTCACTCAGAGGCGTTGATTTTTGACTATACTAACTGCATTTAGAGGAACATCCCAATTCGTTTCTTTTTTATTAGAGAGTTGTCGCAATTATACCTTTTATTTTGCAAATTTTTTGGGGATTACAATTGAACATTCGCAAATGTGTTCCTTCTGAATCTTATTTTTTTTCACTATGCCGCTTCGCATTAATTGAAAGTAGGGCTGCTTTACCTGCAAACTGCTCGCACTTGCTTAAGCTGCAGCTTGGCTTTTCGCTTTCTATGATCTGTTGGCTAGGTCTTAGCAACACTTTGTAAGACAGTTAGGAACCTCGGTCTTTCGATCTCTTATCCAAATTTGGAGCTGAGTTTTCTTGTTTGCCTGATGACCGTGCTGGTTCTCTCATTCGATATCGTTGGTACTGTCTAACGCTACTTCTTACGGACATTGAGCATAGAGGACAAATGCTGCTGCAAATGTATACGTAATGTGCCTCCACCGTCAGAACACAGTGCGTTTCTTCGGATTTGACTGCGACAGTCAACAGTCACCAATCTGGCCTGTTTATAGGGCACTGCGACGCTCTGACCACATTTCATCTCATGGAGTGCTGTTGTATCTCACGTTTTCGTTCCGATACGCAAATTGTAGTATGAATAAATCCCAATTTTAGGGTACTCCATCGTGAGTTTTTCATTACTCGCCTGATTGTGACCATTTGATTACGAAAGGCAATTTCGCTTTTATTATTTCCAGCAAACTCCAAACTAGTACTTACAAGGAGAAAGACCGGCACTAAAGGTACCATTGCTGTAGTCCCATTCCATCCCTCGCTGTTGACGTTGCAGACTAGGAAACGCAGGAGACACTCCCGACTGCGAATCACTGTCTACGTGAAACAACGCGTGCTCCACGGGTCATTTCAGACAACCGATCTAAGGGAGTCGCATACCAGATAAGACAGTTGCTTTCCATTTATTTGGGCTGTAGAATAACAGAAACCTCGCGCCGCTCGCCTCTCCTAGGCGAGGCCAAATCCGTCTCCCCTGAACCGCCATCTCGTTTCTACCAACAACGGAGGCAGGCCACGTCAATACAGGAGTTTCGCAAAGAGGCATTCAGTAGAACGGAAATAAGTTCATATTAAGAACGCAAAGCGTGAAACAGTTGCTTTGACGGCTTTGAAAGCATTTTTTAAAATATAGACATTCGGAAACAGCCTGCACAGTTAGTTGCGTTCACGGTGTGTGGTCGGTTTGTGTACTTTAAGCTGAATCATGTGGTAACTTGTCGCCCGCTTGAGCGAATTATTTTTGTGTTGTCTTCCCCGATAGTAACTATCGAAAACGGTGTTTTCCAACTGCCTGCGACAGGTGACCGATGCACGTGTGATCTTCCCAGTTTAATTGGTTCACTATAAGGATCTATTTTGTCATCAAGTTTACGCGTGGGGTCAATATCTGTCGGACGATAACTGAACTAGATAAATCCCATTTGATTCTGTCCTACATCAGCTAACGCTTTTGCCGAAAAATACCAACGTCTTTTCCGAGCTGTCGTTGCGATTCAGCGATGCACTGCTCTGGCCAAAATACCCAATCAGACGATTGGTGTAGTCACACCGGCATACCAACACCATTGTACTTGGCTCTTCTGAGCCACGCGTGTCCGTAATCTTTAATGCCAACTGGAAGTCCGTAGAGTGCCTTCCTTACCATTCAGACTGTTTCTCAGAGATTACCAGAGCCTAATTACGACAGGCTTTTGTTACATTTTATATCATGCAACCGGCTGTACTGAAGGCTTCAGGAGTGTCAATTTCCGGAGCATGGTCGAATGAACCTTGTTTGGAATCCAGTTGACGAACAGGGCGGGTCGTACAAAAGATAAGACTGGATGACGTAAACCGTTTTCGGCTGTGCTACCGCAGTACCCCAAGCTAAGTCAACATTGCATCCCTAACCGAGCATATCCTTCTCCGTCTCCTATGCGCAAGACTAGCATCTAATTGTCCAAATACGACTCCATGCCCGTGGCAGACTCAATATCCACGATGGGTCATAAACTTTTGCTTTCCCACACGAAGTCTGCACTCGTGTTACAGATGCAGGAAACTGACAATAAGCCGCCACAGTAGGAGTTGGCTTAGTGGACTAATTGGCTTACTAGTAAGCTGTTAAGCAACGTTCGAACTATTTATACAGTCTTTATAGGCTGATCAGATACTTCTTTGAATGAAGCAAAAGTAATAGCACGGGCAAATGAATCCACAATTCGTCGACCCCTCTGCCGAGAAAGTAAGAAAATATGGGGAAATAAATTGCCTCGTTGATGTAACCCACGAGGATGCCTCTGCTTCTACGCCGATTCTGTACGGATAATGTCAAGACCATCAGTCTGGTGTTCACTCTTGTACTCCCTTTTGCCAAAGTGCACTCACTGAGACAGATGAGCCATGTATCGGCGAGTTCACGCATCCCTTTTGTTTATCCGCCGCAAAGTATGTTGTTCCTACCGATTACCGAGAGTACAATTAAGCGTCCGCCCTAAACCTCAATACATTTGTACCACACGTGTATCATATTCTCAAGGAAACACGATCTGCCAACGGTTGCCTCAGTAAGAAATTTAGCCAAGGATTTAAAGGAAACTAGCTTCTAGCTAATGTCTCCTAAGTGTCATGGTGTCCCTACAAAGTAGGGTGTTCTTAAACCACCGTCCATTGGTCGACTAGTGAGGAGTAGATTTTGTTTGTGGAATCCAGACATAGTAATGCCTACACATACCGGATTTTTTACTGGATTTCCCCGCTTGGCTTTCGCCTACTAGTCCTGCATTAGACCGAAAGGTGGCCTAGGATTGCCGCAACTGGGTCGGCTTTGGTAAGTCTGCCTTATCACACTGAGTAGAATTCGACCCCAATTTCTCCGGTAGCTCGTACAAACGTAGCAAACCTACGTCACCTGAGGTAGGGCTCGTAGGGCAGTGATGGTTTATGAGCAAATTCCGTCGCTCAAGTTCATTTACCTGTCTTAACGTTAATCATATTTTTACTTTTGCCAGTTACCCTAGACGACATAATCTTACTTCGTGTATCATTTTGCACATAAAGGTGTTTACTGCTAATTGGCCGTAGTATTTGCCTAACGTTACAGTTTTTTACTATAACATTGGTCAAAGAAAGCAGTTTCTCCACGCACGTCCTGTAAATATCAATTTTTGCACAATGGTAGGTGCGTCACCGTCCGCTTAGTGGGTCTGCTTTACTGATTAAAACTGTCAATCCACAAAGGAGACACCTTCTTTAGATGCCATTGGCAAGACGGTTTCCAAACGCCAACGTGTTTACTCCTCCAAAGGCATTTGTTTACTTCGTAGGGCAGGCCTCGCTCACATTCATAGAACATGCTTGTTCGACCGGATTGATGTTTTCACAATCACCCGAATAGGTACTCCACGACAAGTCGCTGTTTTCACGGAAGTCACAGTTGCCGACGCAAGCTAGGAGGTGATTTTCATGAAGTTGCTGAGACGCAGGGGACTCGATCGTTGAGACAGGAATTTATTCGTCCGATGTTTCGGAGCCATACCCTAGCCCATCATTAGGTAAAGCAGCAGAAAAAGATAGCGTATGCACTAGGGCTGCTGCGTTTTTGGAATGTACCCGCCAGCCTACGGGCTTGCAAACCAGTTTTTTCGACTTCTCCTATTCCTGAAGTTAGCCTCTTACCGATGGAGGTCATGCCATCCTTTGCCGTCACGTCTATTGTTATATTCACCAGGATCTGACGATCCAAACTGTCGAGTAGCTCAGAGAGCACAAACTATGAGAGAGAAAATAGCCTCGGACCAACCTAAATCCTACAACTCCTGAGGTTCCGTGTCTAAACGAGATTAAGGCTCAATGGAACAAATCGACCAGTAAGGCGCATCAGCAAGTTTAGCGGTGGCTGAACTAACGATCGAACCGGTTTTACAACGGTTGGAGTCAGCAGTCTTCGGGCATCGTGGACAGAGATGCTGGTAGACTGAATTTCCAAGTATTTATTACGTTAATCCCCAGGATCATCGATAAACTGGCGGCGATCAACGGTTCGGATGAGGGCCATCAAGCCATTATCCCATCAAGTACGGTCATCTACGACGAACGCGGGTACGTATGTGATAGCATGGCAGCTTCATCTTACAAATGCTGAACTCGCTTGCGTTCGATGTCTTACTCTTGCTGCCTCTGATGATGGGTCTGAGTGTGAATTTGAAACACCAGGCGAACGAATTCTTGTCCCAACCACCGTTGTTCAGGCTCCGCCCAATCGGGATCCTGTCATTTGCACTTCGATTAAGTGAGGGTTCCCGTTTTATTTGCCATGTTTGCAGGCGAATTGTTGGGACGCTTTCAGTCTATGCTCGGGCAGGCAGTTGGGGGTTGATTAAACCCAAGGCGTTTGTAAAGTAGATGGTTTTGCTTACCGAAGGCCTGTGAGTTAAGAGCACTTTCTACTATTCCATACCCTATTAATTAGGACAATTTCAGCCTTTATTGATTTGCCACTTTCCGATGGTTGCTTTCTGCTCCCTTTTTCACAGGCTATTTGCCACAATGACTGGAAATATCGGTTTCTCTGACGTGTGCATTGTCAGCGGTTTTTTGGGATCAACCCTGTATTGCAGCACTGTTATGAGTTCTTTACCTTATGCCGTCCTCGCTTAGCCCTCACAGGGGTCGGTAACCGTTTATCCAAGTTTTTTTGTGCACATTTAGGATCCAACAGCATCTGGCGCCTTTGTTTTCCCACCAGCCGATCGCTCCCACCGACGGTACAACCCCCTGACACAAGAGTGGGTAGTCGTGTCTCCTAATCGGCTTCAGCGACCATGGAGTGGAGCGGTCGAGAAGGTATCGGGCGATCAAAGTAACAAGTCTGCAAATCCAGGCGATCAGTGCAAGCCAAATCCTCTGGCGCCCGGAGCGACAAGACCCGGCGGCGTAGTTAACCCGAACTACACGGCAACTTACACGTTCAAAAACGATTTTCCGGCTCTGGTGAGTCATCACGCCTCGTTTTATTTGTTTCAGCGAATAGACCTGTTTGTATGCGTACCACTTTCAGCATTTCATTTGCAGTCGGTGGGGAGTGTGTCTCTAAGTTATCTCATGATCTTCCACCACTTCAACAAAGTGACCTTCTGTCCTGACATCTCTCGTTTGCGAAACTGCCTACATACTTTCCGAAAATATGTTAGCCCATATGTCAAGGAATCGATCGCCAGCAACTTAGTCTGAGTCTGGCGGATCCCATCTTTTGCATGCTCTTGTCGTAACGCAAAGGGTCTTGCGAGGTTGTGGAGTTTACCTAGGTTGCTCGCTCTCACTCGTCTTTCTCAACTTCGCCATTAATTGGACATTCTGCCGACTTGCACGATTTTGATGGAACTGCGGTCGGCCAACGTGAAAATGTTACTGATGTTAGCATGACGGTGCTGTTATCGGTAGAATGGTGGTTTTATCAGAAAAAAGGGTGTGATTACTGGTACAAGAAGATTGTTCGCCTGAAGTTTCTGATTCTCACTCTAACCCCCCTATCAGAGACAGCTGCAGACAAGGGTGCTAGAGGCACAAGTAATCATTTGTAATTTCTAGTTATTACAGCATTTTATAACCACCAGCAGGCATATTCACAGGGTTATGGTTAGATAGAAGACTTTGTTGTAGAGAAAATGAATGGAATAGCACTCGAGGTTTTTAGGAAGAGTTGAAAAGTTAACATGCCCCGAAATATCTATGCATTGGTGACCCTTTTAACCACTGGAATACCCCTTTTTTGAAGTACATATTTCGAAGATGTAATTTTCGCTAGATTAGCATGATAGTTTGAATTTGCCTTTGTACTTTTTGGAAAATATGAGTGAATTGGTAGTTATCGAAGGTATATGAGAAGATGCCCACGAATAAAGTAGTGATTTTCTCCGCGTGTTTTTTGTAGTATTCTCAGAAAGGAAGCCAGCGCGCTTCTATCGATTTGTCGGCATTTATTTCGTGATTAGCCAAAAGCGTCTCCCAACGTGCCTATTATTTTTTAGAGAAAATGGCTACTTTTAGAGATAAGTAGGGTTTACTGAGTATTTTATTTGCTCATTTCAGTCACCAAGGCTAGGCGATAAAGTCGACGATGAGACAGTAGAAGCCGACGTCGCCCGAAGTGCGCATCCACTGTTCGCATGGGCACCAGCCACAGGGGAGTGCCAAGTTATGTGTTTCCACCCAAAGCCCGATCTAACACTTGCTCTCATGGAAGAAGAGGACATTGCCAAGGTCATCGTAGAGTGGCAACGCATCACTCAGGACTGCGTGAAACGCGGATTCCAGTGGGTTCAGATTTTCGAGAATCGCGGCGAGATCATGGGCTGCTCGAACCCTCACCCTCACTGTCAGGTGCGTCATCTGCTTTTTTAAGTTTTTCATCACAATATGTTATCAAACGCCTTTTCTGCACTTTTTAATGACTTTTGGGAACGCGGTAGCTCAGGTGTAATGCGGAACCTACAGTTATTTTCAACAATGTAAAGGATGCGATAAAGCCCCTATCCTTCCTCTAGAGTACTCAAGGGATTTTAAGTCTCTTGTTGATTCGGCGTTCATGGCACGTCCATGTCGCCGTCCATTTGCGCTAAGAAAAGTCGGAATGTCGTCATCGTAAAAGTCAAGCCTTGTTGACGCACTTTTGGGCCAATTTATACTTCACAGAACCTAGATCGCGAACGTATTAACCTGTAGATTTGATGTGCCACGTCGTGCTGCTGAATCCTTTTACTTCCTTGATGGCCCGCATTAACTTTGGCCGCGGATTTTTTTCCCCGTATGCGTGGATGGGTTTTGACGCGAGCTGTAGCCATTAGTGTTTTTTTATTTATAAAATGGTGACCCTGATGTAAGGAAGTATTTATGCCAGTTCGAGTGCGTCTTTATGCAAAATACTCGGTTTATTCGCGTTACTCTGCAACTGACAGAAAAGACAGGCAAATTGATTTAAATAAGTTCGTGCTTAGTTTTAGCCTTTGCTGCTGTGACTAACAGGAGGGCAAACCTTGTGCTCTAAAAATCTGGGTCTGAAACTTTCTGCCGCTTTACTTCGTGAACTAGTTACATTTTTCAAATATATGCACGAAGCGCATGCTTAGTGTACTTCTTTCAATTACTTTGCTACTTTCATGCAATACACATTTGAACAAGGTACGGGCGACGAAACATGCAGACACGGTGCAGTGCACATTGTCGTCTGATGCCTTTCCTAAGAGGAGTGATCTGCTAACACACTCCTCCAAAATGTCCCTAGATTATCCAGAGGTATAGTAGAAACTCTCTGGGACGTTCTACGAAGTTTTTTGGGGGCCGACTGAGGTAATTCAACTATCCTTTCTGGACGTTCTTGTGCTTAGACAGAAAGATGGTTGTATAAGACGTTCCGTTTTCCAAAACAATACTTGGAAGGAACATTGCTTACATTTTTTGAGTTTTTTACCCATACAATGGAAACGTAACTTGGTATACGCTCTTTTCCAAAGGGCTAGGAACATTTGCTCTAATGACACTCTAGATGCAGAATCTGCACGCCTCAAGGAAGCTCTGCTTAAGCGAGGATATCCTGCACGTTTCATCCACAAGTACAGCAACTCTGCACGGCTAAAATTGACAGTGCATTCAGTTCCGAAAAAGCTCGTCTTTATGTCTTTGCCCTTTAAGGACCACAATATTTTAAATACTATCAAACGACGGCTGCGTTCCACCATTGAAAGGACATACAATGCAGCCGAACTCGTATTATGCAGTCCTACTAAGCTTCTTCCGATTCCACAGGCAAAGGATGCCTTGCCAATGCACGCCACTTCAAATTATGTTTATTAATTCACATGCACTTGCGGATGCAAGTACATTGGGCGAACACAAAGGCAGTTGGCAGCCAGGTCTATTGAGCACCTGACCAGATGGCTCCTAAAGCAAGAAAATAAAACCCACGTTCCTCCATTAAGAAACACTTGGTTTATAGTGGTTACTCCGTCGACCCAAAAACTTCCTTCCGAGTAATTGTTCGGGCACGAGCAACTCGGACATTGCGTTACCTAGAGACGGCCTATATACAAAGGGTGAAACCAGATCTTTGTAAACAGTTCGAACACGTGGTTAGCCTAAAATTGCCATGGTAGCCTCTAGTTCCATGCTTTTCCCTTCCCCTCTCATTTTTTGCTCGTTAACGCTCCCTTTTTTCGCTATTCTTTCTATACGGCGTTTGAGTTATTAACTTTATCGATTAGCCAGCTTTACCCAAAACTATGACCTTGCTGTTTCTGCATTGGTTTTTTGCACTAATTCAAATCTGTTGTATTCTTCCCACTCGTTATCTATGTTATGAAGCGACAGGACGCAGCTGACGAGCCGTCGCGAAATTTTTTGGTACCATTGAATCCTGCCCTGTTTGCCTACTTCAGCTCATTGGTTAGTCCTCAGAGATCACTAAACGTGGATTAGGTTAGGAAATGCTGGGGACAGCGCAAGACACATGCCAATCTTTCTTGGCCGCATGGTATGGGGACCACTGAAGCCTTTCCGTTCATTTATACCATTCGACATTGTGACAACTACTAACCATAACCCCAACCGAATAGCACGCTTTTGCACCCACCTAGTTGGTTGCGACGAGGAGCGTTCAAGAGTTACGAAAGCGAACTGCCCAACTCTATCCGAGCACTTTTTTACTCAGTGCTAAATCGATTGAACCATACCAATTTACGGACCTTGAGCTTCAGGGACAGAATGTTTTACTGCTTTTTACGGCCTATCTTTCGTGAAGTCTTCTGTGATTTAATGCGCTAAACGATTCCTAAAACTCATCATAGCAATTCGACCATTCTTTGCGCGAGATAAAGGCTATTCCTAGCTCGCACGTGTCGCCTTCCTCACGTGTGTCTTTTCTGAAAAAAGGGTTAAGCAGTCTTTTGAATCACGTGGAACTTCTGCCCTTCTGGAAGACACTTTTCTGTTTGTGGGACGCCTTTAGGAAATAATAGGAGGCATTAATCTATCGGACGCTTTTTTTGGAGATAATAAGACGCATTAATCTATCGGAGGCTATCTGAACACTGGAACTGACAATTTGTCCATCTGAGCCTCCTGTCTCGCACACGTATCCATCGTCCAACATAGAAATCAGTAATACGAGTTGCGACATATACGGGATAATGCAGCCAATCGACTGCCAGCGTTCTAAGTCTGCTGACGTTAATGGGACAGTTTACGCAGGTGGCAGATCGCCAGACTGGTTGTGTTAGTTTACATCGAAGCTCCAAGCCTCAATTAGTTAGCGTGTTGTTTCGCACCCTGCGACCGCAACCTTGTTTTCAATAGAGTCAACGAAATTGCCCTTCTCAAAATGGCGGGAGGATTTTTCCAGCTGGCCATTATGTCGTACTGTATTCCAACCCCTCTCTTAAAATCATACAGACCAAACAAGACGAGAGCTGAGGTCGTAAATACAGAAACACCATGAAGGACCGTCTGTCGCACCCCTCGCCATACGTCTGAATCCGGTTTTGGTACATTTACAGTCGAGTAAAACCTTCGGTGAAATCGAATGCAGTACATGTATCCACTAACTCCTCGTAGTATGCTATACGAAACGCATGATCTTATGAGTAACACACACACCTAGACAATTTGACTTTCCTAAGCCTCCGGTGGAAGTTTACGCCACAAAGCGCCTTAGCAAGAGAAGCTTACCTAATACTAATTCATACTGGCCATGTCAACGTGCTGCATTCTCGCAGCTGAAAGCCGACCAACTGCTAGTGCTGCATACACCAAAGCTTGTCAAGTACTCCGATGACATCCTTTGACAGTCTGGTATTCTGTGTCCCTCTTAACGGCCTAGTTGTTGATCTAATTTACAAGAAATTGGCACATTGCTTTACCCTGCTTGCGGGACGGGAAACTGATGATTTCGACAACAAACAAACATGCCTTGTTTCTTCTCACAATCGGGACCAATCGATATAGAGAGCTTAATATACCAAATCCCGGTCTACAGGGCAGCGAGTTCGTGGCTCAACGATAGAGTGTTTTGCTTACTGTTCAATGACCAGAGCATCTGTCTTCAAACCTTGCTCCTGCCCGGCCCGCGGCTGCAACCACGGCTTGCTGACAACGCCGAATAAACCAGAAAGGACTGCTCTTTTCTCTCTGTTGTGCCAGTGTCATTCTGGACTACTACGATGCCGTCAGTTGAAATCGCCATATAGGTGTTAGTCTTTTCATGCAGGCATGTCTGGCACTGCAGCATGCCTCAATTCTACAACATCTTGCTTTAAATAATCTATCATATTTATGAGCCGCGCACACACCGACGTCGTTTTGTAGAAGGCAATGCTCCCAACAGACCACTTTCTGCCAAACAGCATTATGGCCCCAGAGAAGACCTTTTTAAGGATATATTCCACTGTACAACAGTTGAGATTCTAGGTAACGTTCGAACATATGTTTCCAATGAGAAACCGGGAGGCAGGCACTCTTGTTATACGGAAATGGTGGCAATAGAGGCTTTATGAGTGGGGCGAAGGGAACTGACAGATAGCGGCCAGATGTGGTTATGTAGCTCAACCTGAAGTAAACAAACACCAGCCACTTGAAATACGAGACCGGTGGCAATAGGGGGTTTTTACAGGTGGTGCCGGGGAACGCACAGGCGACGAGATCAAGTAATTGTATGCAAAAGAAAAGCTATTAGGAATGTGCGGATGCAATATGAATGGTTGAGAAATATTGTCCCTACCCCTGACCACAACCCCTACAGTATTGTGTCCATCAGGTGGGGCTACATAACCACATCCTACCTAGGACTTACAGTTACTATGTTAGCGTGTTTAAGTACACCATTTAAAGCGCGAAAACGCGGACTCGAAATTAAAATACTGGCAACTAGAAGTTGTAAACGATCGGAAGAAATGTAAATCAAGGGAATTGACTAGATATTTCAGGCGAGTGGAAGACTCCACACACTAGTGCCATCTATTGCGTTCCCATGGGCCAGCTGCTCTTGCGCTTAGGTTAGTCACACAGGAAGACGACTCGGGACTCACACTAAATAAAATCAGCTAGCCATCCGCCGACCTGAACCCTTGTTACTCCTGTTTGCGCACGCCCCTGAATGCGACCACCGCTTCTGTTGGGACGAAATTGAAGTGGTTGTCATGGCTAACACCAAAAGGCGCTCGAGTTCCTCCAGCACCAACCGCCATGTCAATCTGGATGCTCATTACGAAGGTCTGCGTGCCCGGCTTACCCACGCGCCCACGACCTAACAAAAGCTGATAATCCATGCCGGACCACGTAAAATCTCACTGTCTCATCACCCCTCCCCTAGACACGCGAACCACAGCTAAAACTCTTAACACCTTAAACATCGGCGCACTGACCTCTATCCCATGCCGCATCGACGACTGCCAATCTAACCGTCTTCGGTCCCATTGACTCGCCATTTCCGTGCCCCTCCAACACAGGGAACCGTAACAGTTCTCCCTTCCCTCTCCCGTCCCAAAGACAGTCCAAATTTAAACATGCCTAAAAATCGATATTGCTCTGTTACTCCTGCCAGGCAGCCTTTACTGTGGACTGGCATCATTTTCTGATTGGCTAATGTCTTTACCCCTTTTCCTAGGGGTTGTTGTACACAGCATTCAATCCAATGTGCCGATTGATGCATGAGTTATCAGAATGAAAACCCTCTAATAATTCGCGGCTCTTATATGAGCAGACACCTATAGTGCGAGCCTTGTTCCAGGCAAATGTGTGTGCAACTTCCTGCGTATGCATGTTAACCTGGGACAAGTGGTCTCGCCTTCTTACTCCCAATTGATGTTCGTACATACGCGTAGAGGCAGATTTCTCAGTTTGAACACGGTAAACCGCATTACAGGTGTCGCATAGTATCTTCTAGACGACTTCCTTATCCAAATAGCCAAGGCGACTCATTTTCACTGAAACGGTTCAATGAAGCTCTTTTCATAGATACGCGAGTTCATTTTGAAGACATGTAGTTTGGACGTCATGAAAGAAGTAAAACAAGCGTTTGTTTGGCCGAATTCGGCCTGGTAATTGGTTGCCTGTTCGTGACCTTTGCCACACATACGGAGCTTGTTTGCTTCGTGAAGCCAATAGATCGGTGTGCGCCCATTCCTGATTGATAAATACCCGATCTGCAGCGACAGAGAATGACAGGTGGCGAGGCACTGATGAACTTCGGTTTTATGAAGTGCTTATGACCCATCTGGTAGACCCCAGTGATGGATCAACTGCGCCAGGTGCGTCTGTGCGCATGTTTGTGTTTCTGGTCCCAGCTGCTGGTAGTCAGGGTTATGATTGGCTGAATGAAGGCACAATAAGCCCGAAACAGTACTGTATCAATCTGCCCGCATTCTCTGTCGTCCCTCCTTGCTGCTATTATGACTTGGCCGACTTCGGCCTGGTAATTGGTTGCCTGTTCGTGACCTTTGCCACACATACGGAGCTTGTTTGCTTCGTGAAGCCAATAGATCGGTGTGCGCCCATTCCTGATTGAATAAATACCCGATCTGCAGCAACAGAATGACAGGTGGCGAGGCACTGATGAACTTCGGTTCGGTGAACTGTTTATGACCCCACTGATGGAACAACTGCGCCAGGTGTGTCCTAATTTACTGTTTAACAGGAAACAACTTATTCGTAATGAAACAAATGAGAGGCCGCTTATCCAACTCCATAAAAACGTTCCTTACAATTTAATTCCGAACGGGCTTTCAGCTACTAAACACCTACCGTTTTATCCGCTTACTATAGTTCTTTTACTATTATTTTGGAAGTCGTATAAAGTCAAATTCGATCGACTTTTTGGTTAAGGCTAACTGAGGAGTACACCGTCCCTTCTTTGCGTGGATAATGTTTACCAGCGTTGGACATAATTATGCTATCGTGTATTAATTGGGGCCCTTATTGTTTCTTACCTCAAACATCCATTAGACACAAATAGACATTAATGGTTGCACAGAGCCCGCGAGCTCTAAAAGGACAATGTGGACACTGCATCCACTCAGCCAGGACGTGCACTAGCTTCACCGAGAGGCGCAGCTGCCACCGCGTACGCCGCTCAAGGCAACTGTAAAATCAGATGAGCTTCGTCCAGGCTCGTGCACTTCGCTGTTTCTACCCAAAGTTTGGTTTTTTTCTCCCTCTCTTCCGTCACGCATACTCAACAGTCTTTTGATAATGCATCGGATACTTGATATTTGTCTGGGCGGAATATATGGGGACTGGCTATAGAAAGTGGGAAAACCGACGCAGCTGGAGTTCCTTTTGGGACGAGATCGAATATCCGAGCTCGCATCCGGTGTTCTGCCGGTGGGCCACTAAAGCTACGCCTACCGAGCGTACGAATTAACCAATATACTTCTCCTTCCGACCCCTAATGCGAGCTTATTTTGGAGCTGAGCGACTCTTTTGCTGGGTTTGCAAGACGGACCTAGCATGTGCCATTGCATTTTCAACTTTCCAGTGGCCTTCCTTCATCAATACATTTTCTACTTACTAGCGAACTACAACTTATTCTAAATATTTAACTCATTACCAATTGCCCTTGTGAGTGAGGAGGAAGTAGATTTATTAAGCACCGGAGCTATTTGTTTATTATTTGGACTTGTACGGGGACCTATCGCAAGAGATGACAGGAACGACAGAAAAAGCGGCCTGAAGGTAGCCACGCGGGTGAAACGGGCCCTGAATGAATGACAGGGGCCACGAACAAGCAACCCCCTGTTAAGACAGAGGCAGGCAAGATATGGTAGCATAGATCCGGGTAAATTGATAAAGCATTGTTTCAGACTTATTCTGCATTCACGTAGTCCATAATAATCTTGATCATCGTTTCTGACCGGTAACACAGACATGATCATTTTGCTGTTTTTTCGGCGCCAATGACATTTACCTTGCTCTACCATCTCACCCACCGAACATGGCGTTGGGAACAGTGTTCACCTGTGCGCTCCCCAATTATCTAATTATTCCGCCTATGCGAAGTCTCAGCACGGAATATGGAAGGGGAAGGTCGTTGCACTTGTTGATGATGGACTGGGGGCCCGTGAACCATGACTCAAGCAGCTCGCGGCTCACGCGGTTGTCATCTCTAGCGAGAATTTCGGCCTCGTCGAGTTGGAATGTGTGGCCGGATCTTGTCGAATGAGCCGCAACTTGAGAGCTGGCGTCATTTCTCCGCACCGCTGCAGCGTGTTCGGCCATTCGCTTTCGGAGATGCCTCCCGATTTCTCCGAGCAATCATCACATCAACATCCAACACGGCACGAATATCGACCACGAAACAATCAACACACCAAGTACAACGATCCCTGTTGAAGGGGTGATCCATGGTGGCGTGGCAACTGTATCCTATAAATACTGCAGCCCCTTCTGCATGAACCACCCGTATCTGCTTTTGTCTCTGATGATGGGTTCGAGCAGGAATCCGAACCGTAAGGCGAATAAAGCTCTTATGCCAGCGATCGTGTCTCCTTTTTTACGACTGCTTCCTGGGACTCGTCTCTTCGCTTCTATTGACATTTACCTTGTAATCCCAGTGTACGATCATGCACCTCCTCCCTCATAAGTTGTGGTCCACTCATTGCGACCAGTTCGCATTTGGAAGTTCAGTGTGACCAAACTCCTTTGATGGGATGACAACCACGGAAGACTCAAGCTGCTCGAGGTATAATTTGCCTGCGCTAATTCGATCGATTGATCTAGCAATCCTCGACCTGACGTTTTCCGTACACTGACTAACTGGTTCAAGCGAGCTCCGGACAAAGAGCAGAGTATTTTCTAACAAATGCAACTATCGTTCCACTGTCCTCCCACCTACTCGACGACCAGTGACGCGGACGAAATTTGCCAGCCATGCGGCCTCACCGCAACCGCAAGCTGCAAACGTTGATTTTTGTCTGCCTACTTCACTGTCTTCGTTAAAGGTTTCGCGTTCGAGTCCTCAGCAGATCGTGTTCAAACCTGGAGTTTTATCCACTAGAAGCTCTCCTTGATTACTACATAGGATTTGCAATGGCGTGTATTAGCAGACAACAAGGTTCGCTGATGGTTCGTGCGTGTCGCTCCTAAAACACCTGGCCCCCTCATATGGGTCAACCTAGGTTTGATAGTTAGTCTCGCAATGTGTGGAACATAATGTTTTTAATAGATTTTGCATTCCTTCTTTTTCACTGTCATAGATAGAGAAGAATCGAGTTCCGAGTTTTCCAAAATACTTGTGTTTACTCGAATATGCTCCTTCGCATGCTTTTTCTCGCATTGGCAGTAGTTCAGTTGTTATACAGAAAAGCACGCTTTGATCCACCGTTATGCATAGTTAGGCTTGGTCACCATAGGCTTCTGACTGTGAGAATTAACTTACCATCCTAACTGTGTGTCACAACGTTGCTTTCAGAACACAATGAAAGGGCGCTCTCTCCTTAGTACCAGGACTCAATCGTACGGACTATTATCTCAGTCTCAAATAACAAACAGATGTCAGGTGTCTGCATAACGGGTCATTTTCGTCAGCTATTTTTTGCGCTGTAGGCATCCCAGAAGACTAAATGAGTTCGTCTAGATGAGGATCACGGCGTATCTCAGTTTATTTAAAAATCACTACTTCCGGTCTCATAATCGACATCTCAGTGCTGTAATCGGCCCTACTCCCTGTCAATCTTGCTTCGATTGCGTGTCCAAGAGGTAGTCTTCCCAAGAAACAGACAACCGCACGGAATTAGATCTTGCGTGGCTGAATTGCGCTTCCTGGTGATTTTGCTCAAAGTAGCCGATCATGTCGCCATGATTTTCTCGTCTATTACTCTCCTTCGTAGCATGTTACACGCGATCGACCGTCAGGTGTGGTGGCAGCGCTTGCGAGGATGCCATGCCTACCACCTCTTGACACTGCCCTATCCAAATTGGCGTATCTTTAGGAAACAGGCGCCTGCATAGGGCTTTCTATATCTGTATATCCTCTCTATTGACCTAAAGAGTCCCGCCCGAGCTAGCCAAATAAAGTCGCTGTTCTCCATTTGCGTGTCGGCTATTTTTCATTTTTGATTTTTAGTAAGTGGTATTACCAGCCTGTCCAAGGGGGGGGGGATTCCCGCGGAATCAAATACAGGAAAGGGACGATCTAAAATCCCCGGATATTCCCCTAAGAAGAGGGAAATTGTTTTCGTGAAAGCCACCTGCGACAATTCAGGCATGCTTTCGGTAAATTTACCGATAGCCTTCACACCCCAAAATTGACACGTAGTTTATCTGGTTAAATGCCGCCCCTCAGACCATCATAGAATTGTTCAGTCGTAATGAGATCTAGGTATCAAATGGACCAATGGAGCTATTGAATGTGGACTTATTTCGAAATCCCAAATGAACTGACTAACGGGCAGAGCCTGGAAGATGCACTGCGGACCTTCCTTCTCCTCAATGGCAGATATCTGTCCCCAGCACTGTCCCGCAATGTTCGACACCAGAATTCTGGCGGGAGATAACTAAGTTACTTCTCACTTTATCACATTGCCTGTTATGTACTGACTCTCCATCTTCTTGAATAATTAGGTAAATAATCTCGCAACATTTCGTCGATACACGCATAAATTTCTGGCACATTTTTAGCTTTGAAGAGAGCTTTCTCTTTAGAGTAGCCTTAACGGATCTACCCTGAGTACGACATATATGGCGATTGCATTTTGCACTGAAGTCCCTTTCAGAGCTCTCGTGGACGATCACACAGCCACGAGCAGTCATAAATTGAGGTTTCGTCCACGGATTAAGATTAGAATGACCACTTTTGGTCTATTTCCGTTGTCAGTCGGCCATACCTCAATCTCAGTGTTGAAAAAACTAAAGGTTTGCGCCTCCACTCAGTTGGTCACGAAGCCTACGACCCACACCCTGCTTCACATTGTCGGGAACATTCAGAGTATTGCGAGGGTGGCGTGTACCAACCTATCCTGATTTTACGACATGATCGTCCCCTCTTGCGACTTCGGTCTAGAGCGCGCATAAGTGGTCGCATGGTGACACGCATTCAGTAATCACAAGCCGTTGTTAAAAATAACAAGGGAGGCCGAAATAATAATTACGGGCTTACTCGCCGTCACCGGCCAACCATATCTCAGCTCCGGTCCGTGAAGGGCCGAGACTCAAACACTTGGATCGCCAAGGCAAACTGCGGCGTCCTTATTCCGTCTTGCGGTTAGGCAAGACATGGCTGCGTCATTCTCTGGTGAATACAGTTTAACATTCCTTCCCTTTTGGGCTCACTTTTCGACTTCACTACTCTCTACCTAATAGAACCGACTTTGCGCAACTTTTAAAGCAGTGTATGAGTTGGTACTCATACCATGGCTGACACGCCCATTCCCTCTGCTTTAGATTTGGGCCAGCGACTTCCTCCCATCACAAGCGATTCGCCGGGAGCTAAGCCAACGTGACTTCTACTCCCGTTCCTCTGGGCAAGTTCTCTTAATGGACTACTTGGAACAGGAACTGCAGTTTATGGCGCGGTGCAAAGAATCCGGTGAGCAAAATCATCGCATCGTGACATTGAATGAGGACTGGGTGTGTCTCGTGCCCTGGTGGGCGGTCTGGCCGTTCGAGACAATGGTACTACCACGTCGACGTCAGATCTACCGTTTGGACGACCTCCAGCCTCATGAAGTCTCCAGTCTCGCAGCTCTTCTGTCAAAGGTGCTGGTCTGTTATGATAACTTATTCAAGACGAGTTGCCCCTACTCTTTCGGCTGGTACCAGACTCCGCTGCAGTTCTCCAAGCCGGAAGAGAAGCGTCACTGGCAACTGCATGGGCTCTTTTTGCCCCCGTTACTGCGTTCTGCAACCGTTAAGAAGTTTATGGTGGGCTACGAACTCCTTGCGGAATCCCAGCGTGATCTGACGCCGGAGAAAGCAGCTGAGATGCTTCGTAGCGCCGCTGGTGTCCACTATCTAAAAGCTGGACATCTATAACTATTACTCCTTCCTCTCCTCTACCTGCTTCTTGATTGTCAGACTGTTGATTTTGTAGACCTACAGAGAATGTTTTTAATAGTAATTTATTTTCCAATAATAAGGAGGAAGCTTCGACACTGACAACTTATTGACTTGTCTTATTGAAATCAACTAAGCTTCCATCGTCGGAGGATAGGTTTGCATCGCACACAAAAAAATTTAGCGGCAACCACGGTCACGTTGCTTGACTGATAACCAAAAGCCATCCACACGCCTGTGCCCTCACGTGATATATCGGTCGTGAGCAAGGACCGGGAAGAGGCAGGGGACTAGTGATTTCTTCAGTGCAATTTTCGCCGGCATTCATACTAGCACTCATGGTTACAGCCTGTTGCTCCTTACGCTCCTTGCCTTGGACTCCATGGCCCCGCCGATGGACGGATTTCGTGCTTTTGTACCAGCTTTCCATTGTCTACCTGGTCCTATGGTTGTTGCCTTGTGTTCATAAGACATCTGTCCATCAACAGTCCCGTAGGGTTGGGGAGGCAAAAACATGATCCATTGTTCGCGGACCAGGCGTCTATAGTACGCGTAGATGAGCTGTTCAGTTCTATTAGCCACCGCACCCGATCCCGCCTCCGGTCTTCCCGAATCTGTCTTGACACAGAACCCAGGTGAATGGGGAAGGAGAAGCGACAATAGATGCTGCAAATTACAACTACCAGTATTAACTAATTCGCGCGCAAGACACCGTCCCTGCACCCATCCTGCTGTGGGATACACGGTGAATATCGTCGGAGTCAACGGTTCAACTGCTATCTTGGTCAATTATTTCGACATCCAAGTTCCGCAAATATTTCCATGTTACACTTGAAAAGTCAAGTTGGCAAACACTTGTTTTCGGTCATTCTTCGTCGGGCCAATACAGTTACATGAAGGAATGAAAATGTACTAAACTAGCAGTGTTTATAGGTGTCTCGAGGGCTATTATGTCATTAACACTCATCTTCCCCACGCCGCCCTTATTACAAGGTCGGCGGGTTTTGTACTTTGAGATAGGGGAGGGGGTAAAAGAGTCTTTGCGTGGTGTTCTTTGATTGAGCACACGGAGTATCCATCACTGTAATTAGGGATTTGAGGCGGCATGTCGTCATCACTTGAGGTTGGCGTTGACCACGGCAGAGAGCGCTTGTGTCAGGGTTTTCTGACAGCCTAACACCGGGTTCTCTAGCCGTATAGCCACTTCCTCGGTCGTTGCTAGTATCCGTTGGCGTAGGCCTTTAGAGAAGCCTGTTGGTGTCCGGTAGACAACCTGAAATGCTTCCTTGGCGTCGACTCGCTGATTCGTATCGATGAAATGTGTGAGGATAGAACTCGAAATGGATCAGGTTTCACCTCTGTCTACCCAGGCGGGCATATGTTCACGCACCCTCTACCAGGCGTCTCGTTGTGCGGCCGATATATCCCGCTCCACAGGAACAAGTGAATGAGTAGATGCACATTGATGTGGCCTCCAGCGGTAGTCTGTCTTTACCTCCCGAGCGTGCGACGCAAGGGTTTGTGAAGCACACGCGTTAATTCGCCGCGGGAAATGCCCTCGTGATGGCTATAGTTAAGCGCCTTGAAGGTGAACGTGGGTCCTGTGGTGGCACAATATTCTGCACCCAATGCCATATTGGAATGTTGCCTCGCACGTGCTTGTAGTCGCTTATCGGCCTCCGACTTCATTCGTTCCGCAAAAGTTAAACCGATGCCGATAGATGATATGTGAGGTTTCACCTCATAGCAGTTCTTCGGTCACGTGACCTATCCCCGCTCCAGGTCTGTAAACAAGGTCCATGACGAATCTTTCTTACCATTTGTTGAATTACATGATAGCACGATATGACAGTTCGACCGTCGATTTCGACTATGTCCACCGTCTGTTTCACAACAGGGTAAGTGTGGGGACGGTGACATGTGCACGAATTGGTTTATAGTGATGGACTTGCGCATATTCTACCGCACTCTCCTCTCCTCCATCTGGGTCCGGTGTCAAGGCAAGAAGAACGGAAGTGGGAGAGGCAGCAGGTGGCCGGCGCGGCTGGAGCCGCCCATAGGCGTGCCGCCACACCTGGCTCGGACCCCACTGAGCAGGAGTGCCGTAGAGGCCACGTTAGCAAAGAGCCATTGCAGCCTGATTCTCAGTCTACCAGTCGGCCACTTCACACAAACATACACTACGCTGACTAAGAGGTCCGAGTTACCCCGTCAGTTGACAACCTTCCGAGCCACGGCTTTTGGCGCACCGTGATAGCTTCAAGCGCGTCAGATTGTATGTAGTGAAGAACTATGCGCTGAGAGTGGACCTCACATGCCGTACCCTATCGCATGCACCAGGAACTTGGTCATCTTTTTGAAACGTATTTATCTAAAATCCGGGCCTGCGAACGGCCGATGAGTTTTTGCGTTTGACTCAGTGCAGTCTAACTGGTCTACGCGACCCTTATGTCTGGTATGTACCCTTGTCTGCGTGAATCTGGACACCGATAAAAGAAATAGATGCGAGATTTAAAGTATTCTGGGTTGTTTATAAGTCGGAATTAGTCATTTACGCGTTATTCGCTGCGTCTTATCCACTCTCCTCCTTCTCCTCCTACTCCTCCTCATCACCCCCAATTTGCGCATTTGCTGCCGTCCTCTCTAACATCCTGACCTTCCGGTTTATATTCTTGTGTAATTTTGTATCACCGCCATACGTTACGTTGGCCTTAGAACGCGTGTTGAATGCCCATCGAGGTCAGAGGGTGTACATCGTTCATGACCCAGCCATTAGTCTTGACATTTGCATGGATCTTTCGAAGCGGTGGGAGATTTGGTGCTAGTGATCCGACCAGACCGTATTCGTTTTTATTGCGGCACAGGAAGAGATTTTCAACTGAATACGTACCGTGCCTGGGGCTTTGTTGCCTCATGTTTGCCGAGGTTCTTGGGTGTTTAAAGCGACCCGTCCCTAAAGGCATGCCTAATACATATGCTGGGTTTTTTATGAAATGTGTCGCCTAAGGTCCGTGCTTTTGACTGGAATCCGTTTGCACCGCTCGTGATACTGTCCAGACGTAGAAATGAGCCGACTGCTAAAATATTACATTCAGGAAGGACAAAGAGGTATGAGAGGAGAGAAATTTGGCACATCAAATGACAAAATCGACCGTGTGGAATAACATAGCTCGCCATAATCAAATACCCACTCTCAGTATACAGTGAGTGACCGATCTCGTGAAATATTGGCTGAAATTCTGAAATGCGTTTTCGATTAAGAAGGATTACTCAAGTGCGGCTGCAAAACTGATTTTCTTGTGCCATAATTCTAGAATATTTCGGACTCGACAGGATGTCAGCTTTTGAATGCACTACACTTCAACCTTCTGTAGAAACCGTACCCTGCAAAAAATCACTACTTAAGTATCATGCATTTTTTCAATGATTTTAGCTGGTCTTTAAAATTCGAATATATCTTATAGAAACCCTGAACAAACATATGCTTTCTTTCAGTCGGTTGATAGGGAATCACATTGTCTTTATATTTTATACTCGAAAAAGGAGTATAATTTGGTTTTAGAAAAGTTTTCTGATTCCCGAATAATTTGGAGCCTGATCAGCCGTTGCATTAGCGCTTAGTGATTTCAGTCTACAAGGTACATGTGTTCCCCGTAAAGAAAATTACACATTTTCCCATGCCTTTTAAAAGATACTATGTAGGATCCATAAAATTTTGCAATGGATGCGGACCATGTTGTACATTTCATGAGGAGCAGTGGTAAACAGACAGGTACGATGTTGTATGAATGGACATTGCACGGTCTTGAAAAATCTCATAATTAGAAACGGTAGGATCCCTGTTGGTGGCCCTCCCGGCTGATTGCTCTACACATTGCCTACTACAACATTCGCGTCTAGCACACAACTACTGCTTCAGTTTCTAACATACATGTGACTTTAGTGGCAATAAATTATTATTTTCGAAAATCAGGAACGCCCAACCCATTCATTCCACAGACCGTACTCAGTATCCACGTTCGTTTTTATATCTATCTTTCATTTTTCGCCATATTTTATTTTGGCTACGACTTTAGCAGGGGCATCAATTCGGGGCATACACTATAAACGTCATTAACACCTGCATACAAGTACCCCACCCGTATATCCCCCATTACCACCGGTCCCGTAAGACAGGGAGCCGGGTGATTTCGGTACCGGGAGGGCTACCAACAGGGATCCTACCTTAGAAACTTTTTCAAAACCTAATTATACCTCTTTTTCGAGCATCAAATATAAAGACGACGGGATTCTCTATCAAACGACTGAAAGAAAGCATATTTTTGACTGCGGTTTCTATAAAATATATTTTAATTTGCAAGACCATCGAAAATCAATGTGAAAAATACATGCTACTTATGTAGTCATTTCTTACCAAATACGGCTCCTACGGGAGATTTAATGCAGTGCATTCAAAAGCCGACGTCCTGCCAAGTCAGAAATATTATAGAATTATGCCATAAGAAAATCAGTTTTGCAACCGCAATTGAGTACTCCTTCCCAATCGAAAACGCATTTCAGAATTTCAGCCAACATTTCATGAGATCGGTCACTCACTGTAGATGCCAGTACTGAATCCGATAGGCGAGGTGTCAACATATACACGAGTGCTAACTGGCTATGACGTTAAAGTAGCGGATCTCAACCCATGCAAAACGCAAATTCACATGATTCTCATCAAATTTACAGTTGACAGGTCATAAACCGCTCTTAATGGTGGAAACGAACGTCTGTTAGGTTTTGATTCCTGATGGATACTCGATACAATGCGTAAAATGCCTCAGCCGATGCAAAGTACAAGGGCAAGCTATCTTAAAATCAAACCCGCTGGATGGATTTGAGTGGTCCAGAGACGTCTACAGCTCAGGCCATCTATAATATACTTGGAAAAAATAAACATGCATTGGGAGCTTATATGGTAACTTTTTAAGCGAATGCGA